GTCGCCTTCGGTTCCATTGTTGATTTCAGCCGTTGATTATTGTATCTTTTTCTTATTGACTGATTGTTGTCCACTGGTTTGTCCGTTTATTCTAATTTTATATTATAGCATCAAGAAAAACTCAGGGAAATTCCATCATAGAATATCACCATCAGCTGCTAAGGCCATGTTCTTCACAGCACATCACTCGCACAATCTTACTGCTTGGTCTTACTACCTAAGTTTCATCGTGGATGGCTTCAAAAGCGATGAGAACCAGTCAGAAAAACCTGGACTAGTACGGTCAGGAGGCATTTCGGATCCTTACGAAATCCAGCGACTTAGACAATAGAAAAAGAAATCATTTCTGTTACTCTCAAGATTCTATATGGCATCGAGATTCTTGGAAACGTCTTAATGGTTGCGCTATAAAAATTTTCTATCACTCTTACTATTCAGTGATGCTTGAATATGGAAGGCGGTGAATATTGCGCGGATCCTTTTTTTGTATATTATAATTTAAGTAAAGGGGCAACATGCAGCTGTTGTTTTACTGTCGCTGGCAAACAGTATATTGCATTTGGTACGCAAGAGGGAGATTGTTTTATATACTCCACAAAAAGGCACCTGCTAAACGCGAAATATGGTTAGTTAAATGTTTATTAATTCATGAATGAGGGACGAATCATTTGCTTCTAAACGTTAGCATATCAAAGCTAAGGATAAGGCATCATGGAAAACTTTAAGTTCGTTCTATATAGTGAGCGAATTTTTACTCTTCTCATGCTTCGTTTTATATATTCTATTTTACAGAAGATCCTTTAAAACGAATTATTCTTGGTTTGTTTTCTTATCGAAATTTTCTCTTCATTCATCATCGTGGTTGTTTGATTTCATTTCTTCTTTTATGCGAAGAATCAGTAATTAATTTTATTTAATATTATTCGATATCATTTTTTATCATTTATCACGCTTAGTAGATAATTTTATCTTTGAAATCGAGACTGTTTGATTTCTACTGAATTAGGCTAATGCAGGCGATCTACCCTTTTTTTCTCAAGTTACTTCCCTTGGCAAACGCTTCTAATCAAGCTTCCGCCGAGCCTAATCAGAAATTGTCAGGGCTAACCACTTGTTTTTGCTCATTAATGGGCAAAATTTTAGTTGGAAATCATCATTAAGGGAACAAAGGTATCTGTTTGTCTTAGCAAATAAAAAATAAAAAAATTTTTCAATGGCTTACACAAAAAATGTTGATATTGTTTACGATTTCCTTCGATTGTTTAAAGGCGATAATTTAAATATTTTTCATTGTAGAAATTATCACTCAAAGAAGACAAGATTTATCGATCTGGTCGATATGATTTTTGTTCAGCAGTTATTTTGAATGATAATTTATATATAACAAATCACGATGAGGTTCGTTTTTAAACCTGAAATTGTGGATTTTTGGCCTTTTAGGTTTTTAGGTAAAACCGTCAAATTGTTTTTCACGAATGTTGATTTATTTTTTGAGTTTTTAAGTTTCTTTCTCCTTTTCCCAAATTTTTTTTAACCCGCTGCTTCTGTAAGACGACTCAAGCGATCCTATGCCATCTTCAGTAGTAATAGAACCATTCCTATTTTCATCTACGTTCATATATTGCTGGTCCACCTCGCTTTTAGCTCCATCTATCACAGGGCTGAGCAAGGAGCGAAATATGTGCCAACTCATGCGGTGCGCGACGAAGGACGAAGAATCTCCTTGTCCAGCGAAGGAATGCTTGTGATGATGATGGATGGCAAGTGATATTTGAAAGAAAGTGTATGTAATCATGCGTCGAGCACAAAATGTTTTAAACAAGTGGTAGATAATTTCAAAGGAAGATAATTTCTTAATGTTCTCCACTCTCATGGGCCATTTCTGGCAGCAATATAACAGGATCAATTATACAAAGGCGTATTTTTTTGATGATTTCGCGACTACTTTATAAAAGTTTGGTTAACCGGAACCATTATTTTTAATTTCGTCTTTCGCTTGGCCGTTTGTGATTAGAGAGGACCTAAGATATATAAAGTCTGGTACTTCCCCAACTTCGATAAATTGATAAAAATAATAGGTATTTGTCTGCTTCTGGTATATAAGACGAAAAGGCTTTTATTTACATTGACCTGAGGCCGATTCTGGCTCCAGTTGTTGAATATTGTATAGCGTTATTTGCATTTCATCATAATTATTGGTAAAAAGAACTACATCATCAGTGTATTCAAGATCTGTGGTGCTCTGGACTGATTTACACTTCTTGAATGCAAACAAGTGATGTCGACTATCCAGTCCACTATCTGTCGTGTAGTTGATTATAGGGAAAGGATGCAGTCTTGATGGAGACAACAGTTGTCGTGAAAAATTTTGTTAGTTCAGAAAGAAAAAAGGAGGAGTAACTTGCGTACTCACTGACGGTTTCACGAATTGGACTTGGAATGTAGAGCTAGTTGTAAATTTTATTAGATACCCCAGATACCAATATAATAGAACGACGTAATATGTTAATATTAATATAACGAATTGAAAAGTAGGATTGAGGAAGAATGCGAAGGATGTGTTGTGAAAACTGGCTATAATGTTAGCATTCCTTATCGTTTATATAAGGAATATGTAAAGAGATATTTTTTACAATCAGGCTTAAAAAATCTTTACAAATTAAAAGTATTCTCACAGCTAAAAGAGAAATTTACATATAAAAATGTCGAATGTACAACTTTCTCATGGCTCTTCCAAGATACAAATCTGTACATAAGATAAGGTTTTTACAAAATAGTTACAGGGTGTAATCAGAAATCAAAAAAAAAAACATTTTTTAGACGATTGGAAAATTAGAAGATAGGTGACTAATGATTTTAAGCATGGGAAAACGTTTATTATTCGACAGAATAATTGTAAATGCAAGACTACTTGATTTTGGCGAAATTTTGTGATACAATTATTCCAACACCATTTCTTATGTCGAAGAAGTTTGACGGTTCCCCATATATATAGATTTTCGCCGCTGCTGATAAAACACCCTTATGAGTTGAATGATCTCCTCTAAAACATTGTTATATCCTACCAGTCTCCAAAGCACATCTCTGTCAATTGAGTCTAAGGCAACTGCAAAATCGACGAAACAAGTGACGATGGGTTGCCGCTATTTGTAGCGTTGTTCCAACACGCTTTTCATAAACAAATTTCAATGCAAAATATGAAATAATGATTTCTTATTTATCTTTATCCAATTCCCTTGTCCCATTCACTTATTGTAGATCATATTCAAGAATTTTTCAATATTTTCCTCTTTTTTTAGAATAGTGAAAATTCGATTAGTATATTCGATTTGAACTCGCAGACTTCCAGCGAGAAGCAAGCAGTTTTAATGAATGGAGTTTCCTCTTCGAACAATAGATCGGACAAACTTTTATTTTTTTCCGTTTCATCTTTAGAGTATTTGCTTTGCTGTTTCGAAAGCGGTAATTTTGCGATCGATCAGTTTAATCGGCGGGATTTGATTATGGTATTTTTTTCATATTTTGGTTAATGTTAAAGTTTAGTTTTAAATATTTTCCTAGTATTATTCCTTAATATTAATTTTAATATTATAGTATTAAAGGAGAAAAAGTCGCTTGCGGTATTTCATAGTGTTTCTTCTTCTTCTTCTTTTAACAGCTCTCACCATTACTGGTTAGGCTGGCTGCAACGGCTACAAGGGTAAGACGCGGTCTGATGCCATCGTCGAGAGTAATGGAAGCCATTCATTTTTCCATCGTCTAAGTCCATATAATGCTGGTCCACCTATACGTCCAAAATCTTTTCTCCGTATCAGTCCAAGTCTTGATTGGCCCACCTCGCTTTTGACGCCAACTGTCACATGATTTAGCAAATAACGAAATATGCGTCAACTCCTGTGGTGGACGACGGAGAATGTGCCCTAACCAGCGAAGGCGGCGCTTTGTGAAAACATTATTTATGCAAGTGGTATTTGAACGAAGATGGATGCGATCTTGTAATATCTTATCCGCTCGACGAATCCATAATATGTACCTTAGACAAGAGTGGTCAAAGGCAGATAACTTCTTAATATCCTCCACTCTCGTTGGCCATGTCTTAGAACTATATAGTAAGATCGAACGGATCACGGTTATATAGATTTTTGTTTTAATGATAATTTCATGACGGCTCCATAAAGGTTTTATCAAAGGTTTCTTCCGGAAGAACGCATTTCTAGCTGCCTTGATCCGAGTTATAATATCATCTTTTGCCTGTCCATTTGGTATTAGAGTGGACCCAAGGTATTTGAAATCAGGTACTTCCTCAACCGGCAATGAATTTACAAGAAAAGGCATTTTATCAGCTTTTTGCACATAAGACGAAAAGGCTATCGTTTTATTTACGTTGATCCTGAGTCCGATTCTTGCTGCAGTTTCTGACACGTTATTTAGTATTACTTGTATTTCGACTACATCAGCAAAAAGGAAGGCGAAAAAGAACTACATCATCAGCGAAAAGGACTACATTATCAGCGTATTCAAGATCTGTAATACGATGCTCTGGACTGATTTGGATACCCCTTGAATGCCGACAAGCGGTGTCCATTGTCCAGTTTATCGTATTGTTGAATATTGTGGGGAAAAGGACGCAGCCGTGACAGATACCTGTTCTTATTTCGAAGGAATCTGTCAGTTTCCCATATACGCAGACCTTCGCCGACCTCCGCTCACGAAATGCCTTTATGAGTCTGATTTTCTCTGGAATACCATCACGTTCCATCACCCTCCAAAGCGTCGCAAATTTTTATTCATTTCTTAAGCTATTTTTTTAAATTCACATTTTTAACAATTCACATTTGCTGAATTTTGATTTTTTTGCCAAGTTTCTGATACTTCAATGTGTAAATTTTTGCATATAAAAGGAAAACAAATTCAGGTGAATGCTTTCGATGAACCTATATTGTGTTGTGACGTTTTTAATGATGAAATCGCAGTATCTTCTATAAAAGGTCCAATCAAAATATACTATTATCGAAAAAGTGAAAGGAATGTTGCAGAAAAAACCAGTATATACTTTCCATCAAGGTTCATTTTGGATTTGAGTAAATCTTTCCAATCTCTACGATTTTCTTTTTATCGATTTTACTGTTGATTTTATCATTGATTTTTTCAGCCAATCCGTGCTAATTTTTTGATAAAGTCGCGAAAAAATTTATAACTTTGTAAATTAAAATGTAATGGCTGTTGAAAACGTCGTTAGGAGAAAATTCACCGCATAGATAGCCCTTCTTTAGGTGGACAATATAAAAGTCGCATAAGCATTAGAACAATGCAGAGATGATCGGAAAAAATTTGTTTTTTAATTTTTATGTTCATAGATTTGTAATTGATAATTCGGACCTTTTAAAATAAACATATTTTTCTGGTTCAGTGCATGTGGATGTACATCCTTAAAATTTTCAATGAATGGACGCTTTTTGGCCTCTGGTTTCTGTGATGGGTCGATACGAATTCATGGCGTCAAGAAAGGATCTTTGCGCTTTTTTGTGCATTTTCATTACAACTCAATTAGTTCAATTATATGGACTTTGATTCAAGGAAAACGTATGTTAGTTGCATGCTCAAAAGATGAAAAAGCATCTCTATGGAATATATACAAAGATTAATTCGTTTGGTTTTTTTGTATTCATCTTCTTTCTTTGATATTCCATCTTTGATGCACCATTGATGCATCGTTTTAAGGACTGGTAGGATAAGCGTTTTCGAATTCTCATCTCCTTGTCCTATATTATTTCTGAAATAAACCCATCATTATGACATCGATGAATGATCTGTTAAATTTATAAGTACATAATTTCATGGCTGTGATTGGTTGCTCGTACTATTTATATATTTTTTTGCGAAAAATGCTTTCGTTTAACATTAAAGAATCCGAAATAATGAATTGAAGATTAATTTTTTGGAGGATAATGTAAATTTTCCCTAATAAATCTTTGTATCTAAAAAAAAGTTTTAGATAAATTTTAGATAAACGATACTACTCTATCTCTGACATATTCTTGCCCCTAATGCTCTTAATAATTGCCTTTTCTATTTTTGCAATGAAAAGGATGTTTTTAATAATCGCATCCACTAATTAATCAATCATCTTTGCCATTATATATTATTTTTTTCCAGCTTGTATATCATATCATATATCATATATGAAAAATGAATTCTCTCTTGTCTTGTCGTGGTTTATAATAAAAAAGATATATTGAGCCGTGAATGTTTTCCTAAAGTTTGGAAATCGTACTACTATTATCATTTTCAAAAAAATAAGAATATCGTCAACCCATGCACAAATAATCAGCAAGCATTTCTATCTATCTACCTGGAAGATGCATCTATCTACCTACCTGTCACCGAATGAAGAAGTCAGATATAAATTTAGGTAAGCCATTTGCTTAACAACTGCAACCCTAATATCTTCCCCAACGAGAGCATTGAGGTAAGAGAGAGGTGAAAAAGATTACAGGAAATATTAAAGAATAGTAGAGCATCTCACTAGTGAGAGGTGAAATAAGAATATCTCTTTCATTTTCTTGAAATGAAGAGAAAAAAAAACATCTTCCCTCCGGCTGGGCCATATGTGATTTGTAGTAGGGTGAAGAGACTGGGAGGAATAGAAAAGGTAAGTGGGGAGATGGTTGAGTGGACTGGGAATTGCTGGGTGGTAGTTACCGTCATCCTTGCGTTGGTAGAACACTTTCTCATCCCACACAGGTTTGCAATTAAGTTACACATGGCTCACCAATTTATATACGAAGAAATGTTAGTGAATTATATTAGTCTTTAATAGTAAATATCTTTATATATATTATTTGTGAATAAATGGTCTGATTATCCAAGTTCGAGAGCTTCCTCCATACAAGATTATCTATTTCGCATTGAAACATTGATAATGGAATGCTAGCTGCTAGCATTATCAAATTCCTTGTGGTAAGCATAAATAAGTATCTTAATAGCGAATTTCCAAAAACATCGCTGCAAAAGTTGGTAATTGGTGAATTCGAAGATTTCCCATCTATACAGGAAAGAATTTCTCGCAACCAAGTTTAATAATTACTCGACATCAGACATGAGGAAGATGGACCACTATCAAACATCCACGCGGTATCAAGAAAGGGTGTGGACAGTGACCGCTTGGCTTACAACATCCATAAGCGTTTTGACGTTGCAAGCAGCTATAGCTAGCACCTCACCGTGCTTACAAAGTGTTAGGTGATAGGTTCTCGTATCCCTTGATGAGTTTTGAGTGATTATTTCGGTTCGCGAGCATATTCTATGCTCACACCTTGGAATTATTTTATTATTATTATGCCCAGATCGTATATTTATCACATATACGACTAGGTCAGAAGTATTATGTACTTCCGAAGACCAGGAACTGCGTCAAAGAGACCTGACCTTTTCACCACAGAGTGGATGGAGTGGGCGAATTCCCAGGAGACAACCTATTACAATCGCTAACCAAAGATTAATGTTTATTGCCAAGAGTGGAAAATAAACATAATCTAATGCTTTCATTTATGGTCTATAAGGTTTAGATCTGCTGATTTTGACCTCGATTTTTTGAATCTATTAATAATCTATTGTTTTTAATCGATGAACGGTGAACCCACAACTTACAATGGGACATCCCAGCGCGTCTGCGACAACTTTTTTCCTCCCAGTTCATGGTATTGAAAAGTTAAGAAGGGCGAGAGTTACAAATTATTACTGAAATTATGCAAGCAAAAATCAAAAGCAACTAATGAAAAGTATATGCCAGAAATGTCCTACATCTTGGGAATGGTAAAAGTGGAAGAAACCTCTCTGCTCAAGTTTTATGTAAACTCTCGAATCATCATCGTTGGTAATATTGGTGGGCGAGGGTTACGGTGCTGCTCATCTTCATTTTCTCCCTTAAAGCACCATCAAAACTCGCAGTGTACTTTTGTCATTGCCTCAACAAGATTTCGAAGATTTTTAAGGGAATATAACAGTTTTTGAATATCGACTGATAAAAATTTGGAGACAACTATCTCTGTAGTACTTTAACAATAAATGCCGAAAATTTGATAATTTGATAGGAATATTTTTTCTATTATTTTCTTATTTTTTGCTGTAATTACTAATATAGCGTTCATAATATAAACCATTCACCTCAAATCTCGCAGTCTAATGCTAAAGTGGAAGCATGCAGTTTATTGCTGTGCAAGTCTCGAATTCGTTGCAGTTACCTTTCGCCAGAAGTAATTTCTCCACAATCACCTTCAAAAACTTCACCTTCAGTGACAGGTTTACACCCGTCAAGGCTAACTAGAGCCGTGACCTTTCACCCACCAATTGTACGCTACAACACGTAAGCTCACCAGATGCGCTTGTAAAATTCATACTTAATAAACAATTTTCATCCCCCTCTAGATGCACGTGCAATATTATATGTTTGGCAAGTTGCCAACAATCGATTTCCGTTCGAAAGCCACTGTAGGTTTATTTGTATGGAGGATTTCGTACGACGCTGATTTTTTCTCTTTTGCTTTTGAGGGCTTTTATTTCAAATTGGGTGTAGCATCGGACCTTCTTTGGCAGTGAATTGTTTCGAATGAATGTCTGTTTTTGTGTGCTGTCCGCCAGTTTTTGAGCAAAGGTGGTGTGAATTATAATAAGAGGACAGATGTATGAATGGTACTGCTTAACTATTAGGTTGCTTCCGCTATAGTAATGTGGATTTGGCCTTTGCCTTTTGCCTTTCCAGTAAAACTATCGTTGAAAATGGAACCTGGTTGTAGCGATGGGGATCCACCAGTGTAAGTGATAAAAGGATTCTCTCCTGATAGTTTGTGGAAACAGCCAAATTAGTGACTGAATGGCCAGAAGAACTGAATGATAAAAAGATTATAGACCGGCGTCGCCGATAGAAGCGACCATTTTTGAGGTACAGCTCCTTACTTTTTTTCCAATTTGAGGCGCTCAGGTGGATTATAATTCGACGCTGGGTCCGTGTGGATGAGAGTTATGTGACTGAGATCATCTATTATAGATTCTTGTTCTTGATAGGTATGGAAATGTAATATCATTCAAAATGAAATAATGTAGGTGATGGATGGCATTAGGGATTCAGCTTTTCTCGGTGCTGAGGTCTTCGCTATACTTCTGTCTCCAAATCACTATGGCAGAAGGGTCTCTCGTTTCAACAGTCAAGTAAGAGATACAGAGATGCTTGAAAAAGAGATGCTTTCTGAAAAAAAAGCAAACATGCCAATCAGGTTCATAATTTTTCATCGCATTGCTAATCTCATATTTGCAGAGCATTTTATAAGAATTGAACATTTTTTAACATATTTCTTCACAGGTTTTATTAATTACTGGTTGTAAATTCTCACTTATTGGTTAGAACAGTACATCAATAGGAAATACGGCGACGGTGCTTTATCGTATAAACAAATGGCAAGTAAGCGGTAGCGGTTTAAACTAACTACGAGGAGTCAATTAGTTTACTCCTATCAAGGAGCCATAGTAGAACGTGGTTATCAGCGCGTTGATCTGAACCAGTATTTATTTTGTTTGTTGTCTTGCTGTAAAACAGCCGATAAGCGACTTTAATTTATATGCATTTGCGATTTAAATGCACATATTTTTTTTTATATTTTTAAATATATATATTTTTACAGATTTTCTGCATCGAAAATTAGCAATCAGAACAAAATTATTTTAATAATTTTTTAATAACCAGCTTCATTTGTCTCTGGCAAAAAGGTTAATTTTATTTGTAGTTTTTTATCTTCAAACTGTTTCGTTACAAATTTCATCTGTGGCGTAATCAAGCATATTTTTGGCGATATATGTGTCATTCCTCTTTTATTCTAGCTTAGTTTGCTCTATATTGGTTTGCCTTCGCTTGTTATCCGAGCCAGTGAATATAATAATAGGCGACTGGCTTACTTCATTATTTCATTAGTGTAATACTGGTATTGCTATATATATTCATTCATTCATAACGATAGACTAATTAGTTTTTTCATATCTTCGCGGTTAACTTCTTAATTTCTGATTTTCGGTGTTTTTATTTTGTTCAATCTCTTGTTTACTTGAATTATTATCGAATTTAATTCGCACATATTTATCTTTGTCGTATTTCATAGTGCTTAAGATAATAGATTATAGAAAAATAATAGTTAATTTTTTCACTACAAAGATTTTAAAATATTAAAACGAACGATAATCCAGAAGGAAATATGGGTAAAAAGAAATCGAAGCGAAAGCCACCACCGAAAATAAAATCAATTGTTCCTCTTGAAACACAATTCAACTGCCCTTTCTGCAATCATGAACGCGTTTGTGAAGTAAAACTGTTGGTTTTTAAATTTTTACTGGTTATTTACTACTTCCTTTAATTTCAAGTTGATTAGTTTAGTTTCCTATTAGTTTTCAATTATTTTTTTCACTATTAATTTATTTTATTATTAACTTATCAATAATTTAAAAAATTTAATTTGAAATTTTGCATTGAAGAAATTTGTTTTAAAGTTTGTTTATTGGCGAGTATTTTTCAATGAAATCCATTGTTTAATTGAATTGTTTAATTGTTAACCTTATAATAAACAATATGGGATGGAAATTTTTTTCAGTGATCGTGAAAGAAACGTTGGATGTATATCATGTCGAGTTTGTATGGAAAATTTCCAAACAACAATAAACTATTTATCAGAACCAATTGACGTTTATTCGGATTGGATCGATGCATGTGATCGGGCACTCGATGAAATTGTTGCGTAAATGGTAAATTTATATTGGAAATAAGAGAAGTATGTTCATATTATTCGAGGCAAATATTTGCATATACGGGTTGCATGCTGTTTTAAGAAAGAATTTGAAGGAAACTGGTGAACCTATTTATGAAAAAGAAGTTCTGTCATTTTCTCTTTGTTTACTTTCCTTCATTTTTCATTGTTATAAATTTTTTAATTGAGCAGATTAAATGGATTCATAGGATTTATATTTCATTGCAAAACAAAATTATAAATTAAAAAACTAATAATTCATGAAATGCCTATTATTCTTTATTATTTCTTTCCTTAAGGTTATAAGATTCATATTGTAAAATATATTTTCTTTGGATATATATTATATATACAAATTATAAAAGTTATTTTATATTTACTATAAAATTCATATTGTGGTGGATGACGTCAAAAGCGAGGTGGGCCAATTAAGACCTGGACTGATACGGTCAGGAAAGATTTTGGATATATAGGTGGACCAGCAATATATGGACTTTGGCGATGGAAAAAGGAATGGCTTCTATTACTGTCGACGATGACATCGCCGTTTGGAAGCGTTTTACCCTTGTAGCCATTGGAGCCAGCTTAACTAGTAATGGTTAAAACTGTTAGAAGAAAGACGAAGAAAGATTTACTGTAAAATTAAAGTGCTCACCATTTCCGGTTAAGCTGTTTGCGCTGCCTCTTAGCACATTTTTTGGACATTTTTTTTGAGAGAATTACTCACTTCGCAATAAAATAGAGGTGTATCGCCAGCACCACTTGAATTTTTTAATAATGAATTTCCTCATATCGAAAACGAGGTGAAAAATTGCATCATAATAAGATGATCTGAATCACTGTATCCACTCTGAATCCACTCGACTACTCTGCAAAGGAAAACTTGAAATTAAAAATACAGAGAATACAGCAGAAAAGAAAATTTTTATCATATATTTTTAATTGAAGGAACTAAAGCGAAGGTTTTCAAACGCAAGAGGATGATCTTGTTAATCCTTGTAAAATTATACTGTTTAAAAATGGTTTAAAAATGCGAAGAGGCTTATCAAGACCAAGTTTTAGGTTTTATTGATAAACACGAAATGTAATCAGTTTGAACTATTGGGTGGATGTTCTTTGAAGTACATGTTTTTTACTGTAAAAAGTTTGAAAATCTGGAAATAAAAAAAGCGAAACAAATCATTTCCGACATAGTTTTAAAGAAAATTTCCATCCAATATGCATATATTGTGTAAAAATCAAATTTTTTTAAAATTATTAATTAATGGAGCGAATTAATAAATTTATAGTGAAATGAAAAGATGTTAATTGCTTATTTAAAAATACAACGAAAAAAAATCTGATAAACTAGTATTTGATTTTTATCGTTTCATAAAATGTTTATTGTGATGGATTTTGAAAATCTGCAAAAATATAGTAATGGTAACAATCATCCGTCGGCTTTATGTACACGCGGCAAGTTGCATGGAATGTCAATACGTTTTTAAATGTCGGGAGTAAGGTGATAAGCTTTGCTTTGTCCAAATGAAACGTGGATATGGCATTTGTCGGTTATCGGTTGTCTTCCTCATTTCGGATCTCATGCAGTTATACATGGCTCGAAGCAGAGCTGCTGGTTGTATCATCGATCCGCTCTAGTTGCATGAAAGGCAACGGTGGGACTACCCTTAACTGGAAGTCCTGCAATGATTCGATCATCAGTGTGTTGCTGACCAGGTAGCAGAAGGTCCAATTATAAGAAAAGGCTGCCAGAGCAAGTATTTTAGACGATCCTGGCTATTAGATGCTTCAATGGCATATATCAATAATAACACGGGACAGAAACGGTTGCTGAAGTGCTATGAAGTTCTACATAAAGAAGCTGCTTATAATAGGAAACTACTCCGTCCTTTTTACAAAATAACCATTGAAATAATCAAAGATAATGATATGCTTATTACGGCTCTCAAAGGGCTCCTTGTATGGTGAAGAGAATACTTTAAGATTAAATTTAAACATTTATCATTACCATCACCATCTGTACACCATCTATGCACCATCTATCATCCCTGCTATGTGTTCGCGACTTTGCACTTGCTACCAACAGAATAAGAAGTAATCTCCATCATTCAGATGCATAAGGCGAATAAAAACGAAGATGACCTTTAGGATGAAGTCTTCAAGTACTATTTTATGTACCCTACGGCAGGTGGGCGAAATAAGATCAGCTGTGCATTCTTTCCCTTATAATATTCAACATAGCTTGGAACTCAAGAGGTATACAAGTCAGTCCAAAGTATCTTTTGAATAGATCTTGCATAGTACTACTTTTTAGTGAATGTTACGAGGAAATGCAAGAAACATTAAACAATGTGTTGACAACTGCAGCAAAAATCGGGCTCAGGATCGGTGTAAATAGAACGACTTTCGCTGATATACCTGACCCGATGTATACGGTCGTCGTAATCACCACAAAAACGAACTGTACTATTCATCTTGCTTCTACCTAGGTGCAGTGAACATCATCCTGTTGTAAAGCTACGAAACAATGGCATACGGGAGTAGAAAGCAGTAACAAGCCATCTATCTTTGATGATCGTTTAAGGCAATTTTAAATGCTGAATAGATAAAATCTTACATGATTCACCTTCCTTGGCGTTAACAAAGTCTCACAAAGCACTACTTATTAGATGACGATCTTTGCATTCCATCACAAGGATGTACCTCACTATGAATGAATGTACCTCTTGATGAATGGTATAAAAAAACGAAGTGTGTCAACAAAGACCTGGTATAGTTAGAATAGATCCTGAGCGTATCTGCGGTCCTTCTTCCAACAGCTCTCGTCATTATTGGTTAGGCTGGTTGATTACAAGGTGATACGTGGTTTTTTCTGTTCTTATCTTTGTCTTTAACAAGAGTAAACCTGCCAAAAATTCGGATGATTGCTGGCGAACTCATACAACTCTGTACAACTCTATCCCCAAGTGACTCGATGGCGAAAGGACCATCTTTTTGACACGGCGTTCGACGCCTGCTGGTACATGCTATATGCCATCGATCTTTTTAGTTGAATATCGAAGAGAGTTTTGACAATATGACTACTCATTAGAGCACATGGAGGATGAAATTTCACAGGATAGTCTTCACTTCTCTTAAATACTATCTGCTTTCAGGCTTTGGACTTAAACTGTGGAAAAAGGAATGACCAATTTCAGATATGGCATAAAATCGAAGCTCGGAGGTATCTGATCCTTATAATCAGTGGAGATAACCTAACCAGTAACGCTAACTGTTAACATCACTAAGAAAAAGAATATAGAAATCTTGTAAGAAAAAATTTTCTTGCAGAAAAAGAAAATTCCATGCCACGCGTTAGTTATATTAGAATAATCTTGATCCGACTGCTTTCTCAGGGCAGTAGAATAAACACTGATCACCGCAAGTATTAATAAAAATCTTTATTATCTTTAAAATCTTTACCTCAAACTTGGGTAATTAAACCAATTAATATATAGTTATGCGAGAAACAATATTCATAACAATATTCACACAAATTAAATCCGGAGACTAAAAGGATTACTGTCGCAAAACAAATAAATAAATAAAACAAATAAGGAATGACAATATAAACATGTAAAATAACAAAGTAAATTGAATATTGAAATATTGGGACCTAAGCACTCGGGTCCTTTGATGGCACCAAAAGAACAGTTTTCTTGAAAAGGTTATCCTTCATATACTTATGAATTGGCCTCTATTCTTTATTGACGTAAGTGAAGATAAGGATTAATAAATAAATGAAAGATTTTATTTGGCAGATCGGGGTCACTATTTTGAAATGGTAAATTGAAAATAATAGAAAGATCGCATTTCGCGACAGCTACAATTCGCTCGATCTTGTTATATGGTTGCGAGATATGGCCGATAATAGCTGAAGATCTTAAGTTATTTTCCTTTTACCTTTTATACTCATGGTAGTAAGATACATTTTATGGATTCGCTGAGCAGATAAAATTTTATATGGATCCATCTTCGCCCAAATACTACATGCCTTAATGCTATCATTATGGCGACGCCTTCACTAGTTAAGTTCTTCGTCGTCCATCGCAGGGGTTGAGAGCATATTTCGCTACTTGCTAAATACTGTGATGGCGTCAAAAGAAAGGATGAACAATCAAGACTTGGACCGATACAGTCGGGAAAGAATGTATGGAGGTACCAGCGATATATGGACTTAAACGATGGAAAAAGGAATAGCTTCTATTGTTAACGATGGCGTCGAACAGCTTGGAGACTTTTTACCTTGTAACTAGCGAGGTCAGCTTAACCATAATGGTGAAAGTCGTTAGAAGAAGAAAAAAGTATAAATAATTAGTGAAGCTATGCAACTGATAAAGCAGAAGAAAAAAAGAAGAAAAATAATGGACATAAATGTCTGTTTTCTTTATTCTAAACTACACTTTCCGTTTAAAAAATTTTATAAATTTACATACAAAAATCGGTGGGGAAAGAAATGGGAAAAATAATCAAGGTAGGGAACTGGCGTCGGCTAATTGTACCTTTGGCTTAGTAAGGGCAATGTCTTTCCTATGAGCTAAGTATTTTTATTCCTTTAATAGACTTTATTGTTTCGTAACACAAGGCACATGCTATGTAGTTATTTTGATAAACTACTTCTGTTCATTTATTTATTTAAAAATAATAACTTTAAAAAAACAAAGCCGTGTGAATTTGTGTAAATTTGTGTAAACTAAATAAAGTTCAGGAGCTAGCCATGACAACACGAAACTACTCGCACCCATCATTTCCAGACTAACTCTGCTGGCTGTCCATATGGGAAAGCGCGGATTTGCTAATGGCAGGCTTAAATAAAATAAAATCAAAAAACAAAATAAAATCAAATGCAAATTGAAGCAATCACTCAATTCCCTCTATCTCTGCTCGGTGGAAACTTAATCCCATATTTAACATTACGAATAAAATTGTTACGGGTTTTTCAACTCAATTTTATAAATAAAATGGAATTTCAATCGGATTGCTTTGCATTTTAGTCGAAAAATTTTTAGAAATTTAGAAATTTCTAACAGAAATATTGAAGGAATATTGTGTTGATTTTCCATAATCGAGATTCGATAAATTTGATAAATGAAAAGATTTATATTATATTTCACTAAGGCCAACGAATTAGCTTTATCACTTATTATAAAAAATTGGCTTATTATAAAAAATCGGTATGAATAAATTCATGATTATTATGACGAGAGGAACTCAGTGGTTATTGCTCAGATTATCATTCTCAAGTGTCAAGATTCATATCCTGCTTCTGATAGGATTAAATCTATTTAAAAAATCCGTATGGTGCTTGGAACCATCTGCGCCTCTACTCCTAAGTGATACTGGCACTAATTTCTAAATGTATAAACAAAGACTGGAGCGAGTTGGAAGAGATATGGTGAATGCCAACCACTTACCTACTTAAAAACTGAGGTGAGTGAGGTCGATGAAATCAAAGAATGCTAGTATTAATTTGTATATTATCTGTATACTAATTTTCTCTAAAAATAAAATTTCATTCTTTTCAAACATATATTAAGTTGCATTAAAATTATTTTAGGAAAAAAAGGAAGAAATTCAAGGACAAATTTAAACGAAATTTTTCTCTTTTATTTTTACGATTTATCGAACTAAATTTCAATCAACTTATTTGATATTTTTTAATGTTTTAATTTTCATCTTTTTTGTCACTTAGAACAAATTAATTATTTTAATTATTATTTTTATAACTATTTAATTTAATTATAATTATTTTATTTTAATTATTATTATTATTTTAAATTTAATTATTATTTAATTATTATATGTAAATTTATCAAACATCTGAAGTTTCCGGAAAATTTTAACAATTTCTTCTTTTTCTTCCTGAAATTTTATGCATAAATCGAGAAAAGTAATTGGGGATGATTGAATTAATAATTTCTGAATTTTTTTGATTATTATTGTTTACTATTACTATTTTTTCTATAGCAACCACATCCTTGATATTAATTTTACCCTTATTATTGCAATTTTAATTTATTTTTTATTATCATTTTATCATTAATTGTTTATTATCATTATTTATTAATTGATTATCATTATCAACCATTATTGTTGCCATTTTTGCTTATTTTTTTATATTTTTTTATTACTTATTATTTTATGACTTTTATTTTATGATTTTATATCCAAGTTTTATTTACTTATTACTATTTTATTATAAATTTTATTTTTGAAAAAGATTTAGATTTTCATTGCGTTATTTTCAAGTTGCAGAATCAAAGTTGAAAAATTTAATGTATATTGAGCTCCCACCCTCCCTCTGTAAGTACGTGCAGAACATATTTTTGATCAGAATCAAATTACATTGACCCTTGTTAGTTGCTAAACGTAGCATAAAATAATTATATTTTGGGCATAAAGTTCTTCTCGTTTTATCTTATTAAATTTCCATCTTACATCTTATTCTATGTAAATTTCCATCAAATTTACATCTTTGGTCAAGTCGAAGTTTATTTATTAGGCTCAAATGTGAAAAGGAGTCTGATCCATAGGATCATTCTGAAGATTATTTTGAAATCATTTCAAATCAAACAATCGTTCCGGCATTGAATTTTATTACTTGAAATTTATTTATTTGTCACGTTAAATTATTATTATTCTCAGTTGTTTGTTTTGGTTTTATTTAATAATAAAGATGATTTGACAAGAGATTCTTAATTTGTTTTAAATACAAATACGAATTCATTATAAGTAAAGAAAAAATAAGGCCGTCATTTCTGGCTGTTCGATCCTAGCGACATGTCTTATTCCTATGGAGGCATCAGAACCCTGACTTCCGAGACGATAATCTAGCCAAATATTGCATTTGTCATAGTTGATATGAGGCTTTCTATTTTGCGACATAAATTTGATTTTTTATGGAACAATACATGTCTGGCGAAGTGTTGGAAAAGAATGGCATGGAAAAAATCGTCTGGTCTAAGTTAAAAAAACCGTCCAATATTTTTCCATAAATTTGAAATGTTTGCTTATTATCTATCCATTAGCTGGATTGCTGGTAAACTCGTCATTTAAAGTAAAACCCAGATGATAATAGCGTAATAGCGCCTCATCTGCACTTTCGAGTGAAAATATCTCTCACTTTGGTATTCACTAGGCTCATTAGAGCCAGCTGAACAGGAAAAGTGAATGGTCTTAAAAGGCATTATTCATGTCCAGTTTTTTTCACGTCATAACCAGCTGTTTTTATTCAAATTATTTTGGTATAAATTTATAAGGAAATAAAGCAAGACAAATACAAATACGAAATTTATCAAAAATCATATTTCTATGAGCAATGAAAAATATTTACAACTCCATAAACAATAATGGCTTTAGCACCTTATCAAGACTTATCAGTAATTAATCACTGATCAATCAATTAGTAATTACAATAATTACAATCAGTGGTCTTAACTGGGCGATCATATTGTCGTTATCTGTTGATTTCTTATTCGACTGCATAATTATTTCTCCAATTGCTCGATGTATTTTATTGTATTTGGCGAAGCTTTCCATTCATAATTATATGGTTGCCTTATCGACCTTTTTCAATTCGCGAATTAGATTAGATATTTTTTAAAACTTTAAAAATTTGAAAAAGTCTAATAGCCATTCTTGGTTTGGCTAGCTGAGTGACTACGAGGAATGCCAGAAGATAGCTTCACCAGAGAATCATTTGAGGATAGAAACACAGATATGTCTACGCTTTGGCCACTCGGAATCCTTATAAATTCTTCTTCTTTTAATAGCTCTCACCATTACTGGTTAGGATGTTTCCAGCGGCTACAAGAGTAGGATGCTTCCAAGCGGCGCGGTCTGATGCCATCGTCGACAGTAATAGAAGCCATTCCTTTGTCCACCGTCTAAGTCCATATACTGCTGGTCCATCTATACGTTCAAAATCTTTTCTGACTTGTAAATTGAATCCTTATAAATTAAACCAGTCTATATACAGTGCTGTGAACATTTCAAATTTCCATACTAATTTCATTTTCATAAATATTGGCTAACCGTCTTGCATTCATTTAACGATAAATTTATGCTAATTTATAAATATTATAGAAAAAAATTGCTAAAAGGAATTTTTGAAATATTGTAAAATCAACCAAACAATCAAATGGGGTGGAGTCGACGTTGCTGAGCAAAGTGCTCGGCCACAATTAAGATTGCAGACGTAAACGGCAAGCGGAGAAAAGGAGAGAAGAGAATCTTGTTCGCCTATCGTGTCCCCTCCCCCGTAATCAAAATTAATCAAAATTATGCGATCTGCATTCGCCTTATCTTGGAATGTACAGGTTCGTTTTTTTCTCAAAAATACCACCGCGATATCGCATCGAATCTTCCAATCTCTAAAAATTGTTGGAATTTTTTTTAAATTCGATGAAATTCAAATTTTTCTTACAATTAGTCTTTTAATTTTTTTTTAAATTTTAAACAATAAATTCATATAATTTTAATCAAGTTTTTGTTTTAATTTGTCATAATTTTGCATAGAAATGAGTAAATTCTGTATAACTTTTTTCTTGCTTGCAACTAGATTTGTAGATGTTTAGTATATCCACGAACTAAGTGGTCGGCATTTCTGGTTAGATTAGGTTTCAGGCTAGGCCCGCTGGTCGTTAGAATGGCTGGAAGTTTTTGCCAGAGAGTTGTCACTTGGTGACAGAATTGCTCGCGTTTTTTTAAACGACAAATTTGCTCTTATTGGGGCCAGGCGATGAGTCCTTCCTTCTCAGTCTAATAACCTGAACCACTGTCTTTTCAGCTATCTTACGAATCCCAGATTACGATAGATTGATTTCTATTGATAACATTTTCATTAAATGGTTTTATTTTTTCTAATTATAATTATATTTTTTGCAGTACTTATGGTAAATATATTTTTCCGGACTGTATGTATTTAAAAGTTTTTTAGTCGATAATGGAGGAAATCATTGTTTTCCTCCGCTAGCGTCTGAGTTCATCGTTTCCTCCATTTATTTATTTATTTATTTTTATTTATTTTATTATTTATTTATTTTATTTATTTATTTTTAACTCCATTGCGTGTTCAATCACAATGAATATTTAATTTGATCCGTCGGCTCTTTAAATAACAAAAAAGAATTTAAATTTTTATTTTTGCTGCAAAATTTGTCTTTTTTTGTGTAGATTTCTATAAATATTTCTATACTACCAATGACAACAATGCTACGAACCCGCTTATATTTCTATCCTTTGATCGCTTTTTCCCTCGATGGTAAAAAGTTTTTCATTCATATAATTTCAACTTCATTCTTCAAAAAATGTCTGCAGTTTATGGAGCAAGAAATTAAGCCAGAAATACTATTAGAAGAGGAGGAGGATAAATACTTTTTATTTATAATAAGTCTATCGACATGCATGTTTTTCTCAAGACAATTATAATGGTTGGCAAATAAAATTATACATACGCATAACATATTATCCATTACCCATATTAAATTTGGAATATAATTTTTGCTCAATTTTAGTAATTTTTCAGTGGCTAGGCTCGTTTCCTGTGTCAGGCACGGATCCAGAGACGATTTCACGTCGTTTGGATCGCTTCAGTGCCACGAGTGAACCTATTAACGTCCAGTTTTCAGTTTCGTTAAATGGTGTACGAGTTTGTGATCCGCAATTAAATGTTAGTTTCTTCGGTTATTCGGTTTTATCATTATTATCAAATGTCTCATTGTTTTCATTATCTTTTAAATTTTTATTTTTACGCTTTATTCATTCGATCAGCAATCTTATATTCTAAATTAATGACTAACAATTAATCAACCAAACAACCAACTAACTGACTGTCCATCCGTTATTATCTTCATTCTTTCCTCGTGAATGAACTAATGTAATTCAGTGAGGTAATAGGATTTTGTGATAAACAAAAATGGATCACTTCCCTCATTTGCTTGATCTTTTGATCAATGTCTGTAGATGCTTCAAACATTCTCTCATTTATTATGCTTCTGTTTTCATTGAAACTTCATAAATTATTATCATTATCAGTTGAAAAAATTCTCTTCTTACCTCCTGTGGGTGACTTGGGTTTTCCTTCAATTTCAGATTGTATATCAGAGATGTGGGACTCTGAGGGTACGCAATATTTTAGTGGCTCCTAGCAATCCTTTATAACTCTTATATTGTTTCTCGGATCAACTGGAACAACTTTTCTAGTTTAGAGGTCACAATTCCTAGTGTTTCAGTTATCACTAGGATTATTTTGGTTTTCCTTCCCACATCATCCCTAGTACCTCATCCAGCCCCTCTTGTTTCTCCAGATTCACATATTGCTTCTTCCTGATATTCTTATTTCTTAGGATTGTTTTATCTATTTTATCTATCAGCTTTTGGTCCAGCTTTTCTAACCATTAGTAGGATTTCTCAGTGTCCTCAGTTATCAATGGTTAATGATCCAATCCGTGAAGGGTCTTGCTTTGCTATGGTACTTCATTTGCTTGATCTTTTGATCAATGTCTGTAGATGCTTCAAACATTCTCTCAGAAACTCATATTTTAGTACCATCTTGCTGATGTATTCCCAAATGCTTCGGGTTTCGTTCAAGATAGTGGCTTAACAGTCGCTCACTCACTTACGCTCACTTCTTTCTGGCTGGTGCACAATTTTTTGGTTTTAGATGACTTGAGGTGAAAATTTCCGGAGAGTTTTGTAAAAAGTTTTTGAGTCTTAACGCCTGCAGCCATATCTTACTTTAGTTATCTTCCCACATCATGCAGATATTTGATGACTGGCATAGCATATATATTTACGGCATCAATATTTTTTCTCATGTAGCTGATTCTTCAGGATCTATCCTATCTTCTGATTGCAATGCCTTATCATCCTTATCTCTTTTTGAATTAATGATTATAAAAAATATAAAAAATGCAAAATAAAAACAAGGTATTCTATTCCTTGATGGTATTTGCAATCTTCTTCACTGTAAACCCATGCGAATGTGAGATGCCAAAATACTTGTAGCTAATCTGTAAGTCGCTCTCACTGGTTATATCATCCAATCTTTGTTATCAACATATGTATAAATTTTATATTTCCTTCTGCAGTGTTACTTCTTTTCCATTTTTTCAGGTAATCTGTTCCTTCCAGCTGTACTATATCTTTAGGCTCTATTGGCTCTAATAATAATAAAGCGTTTCTAAGCCAGTCTGCTTTCTGAAGATTACTGAAATTTTGGAACACTATAGTTAAGTTAAAGATTATTATAGTTAAAGATTAAAAAGTATTATAATTAAGTTAAAGATAAATCTAATATTTATTTCGCTGATATTTATTATCTGTTGGTTCTGGTTAATTCTAATTCTACGATGATCTAATTGCATTGCATTATCATCCTTATCTCAATCTCTTTTTGAATTAAATGATTATATAAAAATATAAAAGACACAAAATGCGAGCAAGATATCGATTTTTTTTTTGTTTAGACTCGCTTAGCTGGCTTCTCGGACCAGATAAATTTTATTCGACCATAGAAGTACAGGTGAGTTGCCAACAACCCCTGAAAAAAGGATTTATTCCTGTCAGAAATATCATAAAACTTCGACGCTGGGAAATGAAAGCAACCTCTCACTTTCTCCCTTTACCGTCAGCCATTATTTTTTATTTGATCTATGCTCACTGATAAGAATAAGCTACTTCATTAAAAGTCATATCGGGATGTTGTTAGGGATCCATTTCTACTTCTATCCCTTGATAATTCTCTGGCGAAGCGAATATAATGCACTGTTATTAGACAGTGGAACTAGCCAAACCAGAAATGGTGTGTTCATAGCATTAGATAGTGCCACATCTGTTTGCATTCTAATATACGACATAGAAAATGGCTTTTACCGCAAAATTGTCTTCATCGAAATCATAAATCATCATGAAAGTGTGGCACTACGATTCTGCAAAAATTCGTAAAATTACAACAAGAAACGAGAATCTCTCTCTCCATGTCAATGAATTTCAGTAATAATTTATTTTTATTAATCGCAATATCTGAACCCTCTCAGATAATTATCGAATCTCGAGCGGATTCGATATCGAAAGAAATAATTCGAAAATTGATATGGGAGGAGGAAAGGTGAAAGGAAAAAGGGGGTTTCGACTGTTAAAATCGATGACCAACTGACCTTTTGATTTCTTTCCCATCGGCTTTCATCAAAGATTTAATTAAGCAAGGACTGAATTCGTAAAAAAAGTTGACTATTTATAGAATAAGAGAACCATTAAACGATCTTTTATAAGTCAGGAAAACTTCAGTAGAAAAAAGGGAGAAACTGCCATTCTGTGGAAAAGAATTTCCATCGAAATCCATTCATTTAGTTTTTTGTCATCGAACGATATCGTTTGCAACGAAAAAAAATCAAATTCCTCTAAAAGAGATTATTGATATTTATTCTTTAAATTGCAAGAGATAATTTTTATTATATTCATTTTAACTCTCAAATTGGGATGGTTTTTAGTTGCTAAGTAAGTAAATTCGAAATAAATAAACTCAGCTGTGTCTTATCCACTTTGATGATATTTCATAAATTATGAATTTATTAGCAATGAGATTTACCAGGAAATTTCGACTGGTTTTTCCGGATATTGAGGTTAGGACCTCTCCACCTTTTCAAGGTGCCTTGAGAACGGGGACAGGTAAAAATAGGGAAGGGATCCCCAGCAACACTCACAAATATAGACTTTCCGTCAAGGGACATCATGTCGCGTTTTTAAACATTTTTTAAATTCAATTTCTTTTCTTTATAAACGACCTGGAATATTATTTGTCATTGATTGCATTTCGATACCATAATATTCAACCATAATATTCTCAATATTATTCTGGAGCCACCTATCGCGAAAGAATTTCATCCTGATTGCCAGCACAGCCAGTGTGTGAAATGTTTGAAAAAAGAACATTCTTTTTTTGCTACCGTGTTGTTAAGCCTTCACCGCTCCTAACTACATCTTCTAAAACTATTGTCTGTGGCAGTTAGCAGTGAAATTCGATTGTTTAGTTATTCAGTGAATTCTCCACTCGTATCGTCGCATCTGACACCTCATTCATCAATTTTAAGACTATCGGGTTTTTTGTCTCATTCAACCGAGTAGTAATTTCGAAATATCGCATTTATTTAGTTATTTTATTTTGAAAAAATTCAGATGCAATGTGAAACTATACAAATAATAAATTTATAGAAAAACATGAAATAAAATCTTTTGCTACCTTTTTTCTTTAATAAAATGACAAAATGCAAAGAAAAGTTTAAAAAAGGAAATTATTAAAGAGGAAGAACAGTGAATAAGTAATAACCAAAAGTAAAAGTAGGAACTACAAACTGTGCGTATAACTTTGCACATACCTTTTATCTTATATATATTAATAATAGCATCGGTGTACTGGAGTGAACCTGTCATTAAAAAGTGAAATACGAGTGATACCAGGTTCCATCTTCTATGCTCTGTTCTCTGAGACTTTATGGCTAAAGGATTTCAAACACGAAAAAAAAAATGCATGAGGTCAAAAAAAATCGACCAGTTTGGATTTTATATATATTTAATTACTATAAAATTCGTAAGGCAGTTATCTATTTTTACAAAAAAGAAATCTTTAAAATGACTGTAAAAAATTATTTCTAATTAAATTAAAAGGTGCGAAAATAGAGATGATTTTCGATTTTAAAATTTAGACAACTAATTCTTAAATTTTTTCGTGAGAATGAAAGGCCATTTGAAAAATATAAAAAGAAAGTTTGAGATGGATGGAAAATATTTTATAAAAAAATTTTTACTTAAGTGGAAGAGGAATTGCAATGTACTAAGGAAATAAGATAAATTTGTCATATTGATAAATTCTTTCTTTAAATATTCCTTTGTTTCGACACTAAACATTGAAGATAATATTAATATCGGCATTATTAGCAGGCCACATGATCCACCAATCACCAATGACAATGATTATTGTAAAGAAGCAGCAATAAAACAATAATAGTAATTGGTGAACGATGCATGAATGATATTTTAGGAGTAAAAATATTATTCACCCTTTATTTAGAAACAGAATAGCTAAATGGTTGAAGCTTAGATTATAGTTGTTTGGTCTAAAAAATCCGGAAATGGCTCTCTGGCGAAATTATTTGCACATTTAACAGTGTCAGTGGAGCGAGCCTAAGCCAGAAATAATGAACGCTAACCATTTACTTATTTCTTTCGCTTATTAGCCAAAAGGTAGTTGTTATTTTCATATTTCTAATTTTAATTTATTTTACAGTTATTTCTAATTAAATTAAAAGGTGCGAAAATAGAAATAATTTTCGAAAATTTAGACAACTAATTCTTAAATTTTTTTATGAGAATGAAAGGCCATTTGATGGTAATGGGGCAGTATTATTTTTTTAAAATACCAGTCATCACGAAAATATTTTAGAAAAAAATTGGTCCAAATCTGTCTATTAAGTCTTCTGCCAAATGATAATTGTTTCAAGTTTGTATTTTTTAGCTCGAGTGAACTTTAAAAATTTGTGCTATTAAGCATAACTGTAGATTAGACAAAATAGCCGAATGTTATAATTTATTATAAGGGGCACAGTTGAAAATATTAAGTATGGGAAGTGCTATTATCAACATTGCAACATTATCAACATTATTTAAAATTCATTATTCATTATTTAAAACTCATCACTCATCAAATTTTCACGTTCTTTCGGTAAACGAACTTATCATAATCAAACTGGTTGATTCATCGTTAATTTTAATGACATATTCTCAAGTTTTTCGTCTTTTAGCAAAGAGAATTGTGAATGCTCGCCTGCCACGCGTGCGGCCCGGGTTCGATTCCCGGCTGACGCAATGCTTTTAATACCGAATCAATTGGTTCGAGCTGGGTTCGATATTGCACTGCTATATTGTATATATACATCGTTGTTTAGGAAGAGGATAGATGGAAAAGCATTTTAGGTTTACCTACGAAATATGACACAGATGTGCCAAATTCCATCAGAAATAAATAATTCCAATATATCTTTATATCCGATCGATTAAGCCACATTTTTCATCCTGGTATTCCGAGTTGTCCAATTTTTTTATAAGGTTTGTGTTCGTTCTAACCAAGAGAATCCTTTTGAAAACGAAATTCAATTAGTAGATTGTATGGGTATTGCAATAAGCAGGTTTCCAATACGAACAAATTCGAGCCTCTAATTTCACTCGTTTTCGGGAGGCATATTACTCGATATTTCGATTCACTTGGGCAAATTTGAATAATCCACTTTCCTAATTTAGTTATTATGTTAATACAATGATACTAACTGGTCACAGAATATTAAATAAAATGTTGATCATAAAATTTTCACAGGAATATTACGATGAAAACAGGGTTTTTGGCTGGTTCCATTAACTGCTACAAAATCCTCAGAGAACCACTTGGTGGTTGGATGATTTCATTTTTAATAGGCTTACCCCTGACAGGAGTCGAATTAAAACGAATGGAGGTAATTATTTTTTTAAAGGTTAACAAGTCTCTTCCTTTGAACCACTATACCGTCAGTCATTTGACTGCTGTCATCGATCACTTGAAGCGTAACAGCAAAATGCCGTATAACAGTGAACAATAAACGTTAGTTAGATTTATGGATGAGCACTGCTGACTTGCCGGTGACCATCTGTTCCTATTTTTCTACAGCAATTCGTCAGGCTCTCCCTTATCTATTTCATCAAAATTCTAATACTAAGAAAACTTTTTAAAATTATGAAAAAAGCAATTTATGAATTTGCATATCGAACATAATTATTATTGTAAAGATTATTGCGAAATTAAGAATTTTTATCAACTAATGTTTCCCTTTGAATTTTATTTAATTTGAATTTAATTCTAATTTTAATTTTGATTTCAAGGAAATTATTGAACAATAAATTACTAAATAAATAAATAGGTAGATGGTGGCGTTTACCATTTCTAATCAGGCTAGCTCTTGAACTGTTACTACGGTTATAAACTTCTGGTGGCGAGTCACTTGACTACCGGAGAAGAAATGGGTCATACGTTCCACGTGGGTCTTTTAATGACCAGTTTACTTTTCTCAGAAAGTCGAATATTTGTCTCGCAACATAATCATCTGAACGCTATTCACTTGGATATCCTAAATGTACAAACATAGAGAAGAAATGTTTCAATGGTCAGAAGAAATCAAAAAATTCCTTTTTCAACCCGAAATTTTTCTTATGAATTACTGCAATTGGCAGGAACAATATTTATAAATAAAAAATTAAGTAAACAACCAAACTACTTCAGAAGCACCTCAAAGGTTATCCCGTTGTTAAAAGGCTATCCCGTCTAAATAACTTATTTGAAAATTTGCATTTACCTTTGATGACTCGTACAATTTAGTAAACTGGAATTTCTCCATTTTGTTATCTTATTTTATTATCTTTTTAAGTCAATATTCTAATTTATTTTTAAGCTCTTTTAGACTTTATTAGTGCAATTTTCAAGAAAAAGGCTTTTCATCATTAAATTTTTAAAATGTTTGGAGGAAATAATCGGAAGTTAAATCTAAAATAATCTCATCTGCCATAGAATAGAAGAAAGTTGCCTGTCACTGTTGCCTTTTATGTAAGCTACTTTTATAATTTTTTTTAAGAGTCCTCACCATTACTGGTTAAACTCGCTCCACTGGCTTGTCGCATTGGGCAATATGCCAGCGAGTCCAATAAGCAACTTATAAGCAACTTGGCGATAGAAATACTGGTGACTCATGGCCAGCATCACCCGGACTTTTATAATTCAAATGATTCGAATTTCTTATTCATTTAAAGATAAAATAAAATCAATAAATTTTTAGCAAATATTGTTATTTCATTCAATTCGACGAATACATTGCGTTGTTGGACGTGTGGAACACTGCCAGGTTGCTTATATAAGTCGAGAATCGACTGGGCAAATTTATCGACGACTATGCCATCTCTTTAAAACTGAATCTACCAATCAGGTAGGTAGTCACCTCTTCATTTTCATTTAATCGACCAACAATTTAAATTTTCCACGCGAATCATAGGCCAAATTTTAAGGTATACCGAGTAATTTTCTAGATACATGGCTATATGACCTTTTTATGGCTATATGACCTGAAAAATAATGAACATTTCAAATACACTTTTTTATTACATTTAAATGAGTGAAATTTAAAATTTTATAGGTGCATGAAATAGAGTCAGTTCTGGGCCATGCATTCGAGACAACTGTATCTTCGAAACCTTGCTCAGATGTTCGAGCAGTTCCGTCGCCGACATCTAAGGCACTATTATCAGAAGGAATGCATCCAGTGACACCGCTAATTACAGTTGCTTCGACACCCGTTGGTCCTGTCAAACCTCGTGCTAATCGTTCATCGCTGTTCCTCAATCGTATTTTCGGTAGCAAATCACGCAGTGATCTTCAAGCTTGTGTTATTCCTGAAATCACACCGGCAAGGCGCAGAAGAAGGCCAGTAAGCGCTGTCTTCAGTCATGCACTTCATCGATTATCAACAGCATCAATTTATAATAAAAGAGTTAGTACACCCAAATTTTGGTCTTTTTATTGAAGTAAACTTGACCTTATGAATAATGAGATATATTTTGCTTGTAAAGTATCTATATTGCGGCAAAACAGTCGATATTTTAACATGAAAAGTAAATCTGAAATTAAAGCGTTAAAATCATGCAAAATACATGTTTATTTATGGAATTTATGAAATGTTTCATTGAACCATATGCTTAAAAAGATTATATATATATAATTTTTAAATTTATAAAGATTATACATAAAAAATTAAACCGTGATTTCATATTATAATATCTGACCACAAATGTTCATGCCACATTTTGATAATGCTAATTTAAATATATTTTGACGATATGCGTTAGTTATAGTTATATAGTTATTGCCGTTAGATATTAATGGGATTAATAAAAATTTATTGCCTATAAATTGCAAATATTTATTAAAGGCCTTATCATTATTAGATCAATGAGCGAAATAGAAATTTTAGTCGCTATTGCCATTACATCATCCTAAGGAATTTATTGGTTTCGTTAATACGAAATAATTATTAATTTTGAAGATTACCATTAAATCATAGTTGAAAGAAAACTTGCCTAGGGATATCCGAAGTGAAACTCGATATTACTAAAAATTCAAGTTTATTAATTTTTCTGAGATATTTCAGCCAAAATTGCGAACAATTTATCATACATAATTCTATAACTTCATGGTAGTCTCAAGCTTATTGTGAGTCTTAATTTATTAATCCTAGTTGTTACTCAAAATATTGTCTCGAACAAGAAGATTTGAATTTTGCTTCCGGCAAAAGTAAAATTATCATTGAAAAATCCTGGTGTTGATAATCCACCTATATCTTCGAGTGACTTTCTGAAAAATCGTACTAACTGCCACAGGGACACGAGTCTAACTAGAAATGGTGGGCACGCTAACTACTTTCCTTCATTAAGAGTGAGTTTTAGGCGGTTTTTTTCAGCGTTTTGGTTTGATATATTTTCTATTTGTTTATATGTTTATTCTTCTATTTTTCATTAGATAGAATTAGATTCTATTTATAATCATTAGATAGAAGATTCTTCGTTATATTCTTAGAAATTCCATTATACATTCTTTTTTCCTTAAAGGCGAATTGAAGGTTAGAAAAAAGCTTTTTATCGAAAATTTTTCCACATTCCAACATTTTTTTTTGTTTGGCAGATTACTCTTTTGATTATAAATGAACGAGTGAAATACGGACAATAGGAACGAATTATATGTGCACTATTCTATAGGTTTTATTAAAAGGATAAAAGTTTTTTTTCCAAATTTATCATCCGAAGAGCCCATTCATGCAATAGAATTTTTCATGGAGTTAATCAGCCAAAACTTTTTTTTAAGAGCCCTCAACATTGCTGGTTAGATTTGCTCCGGTGATTTGTAGACAAATATGCCATAGGATCCCTTGACAATAGAAATGCAGGTGAGTTGCCAGCATCTTCCGGATTTTCGGAAGGACTTACTCCTACAGGAATAGTCCTTCAGCATCGGCGCTCGGAATTGAGCAACAACCCAATGAGCCATTCTGGATTTTTTAGATATGAGAGGTTTACTTTTGTGAGGGTATGAGAGAGTGAATCCATGACCCTCGACGCGAATCAAAGCAAAACCATACCTCTTGACCCTTCAGGCATATAAAAAATTGAAAAGAGTTTTATTTTATAAAATTGGACCAGTGATTCATCAAAAGGAAAGTATTTTTGACAACTATTTCCACGATTTAATAGATGGGCTTTAATGATTTTGGGTTTTGAATTTTGGAAAAATTATTTGATTTATTTATTTGATTTATTCTTTATTTGGCACCGAGTGGTTGCTGTTTAGATTTTTTTATCGTCTCGAATATTGAATATTAAATATTGAAATATTCAAAGTTTGCCTGTACTTTCAAGAGGGATAACCTATCATTAAAAAGCCCGCGTGATGCTGGAAGCTTATTTGCATTTCTTTTCCATGAGTGATTCCTGACAAGAGTTTGGAGCGAGCAGTCAGAAATGGTGAGCGCTAATCATTTTTATTCTTTCTTAGCAGTAATAATAAATGGATTTTTAATGAATTCATTCCATCTGCTCATAAAAATTTTTCATAATTTATGTTCCTGAAGGTCTATGCAACTTCATGAAATGAAATTTTAGATGCAGTTAGTTAATAAATTAAAAATTCTATATTAAAAATTCTCTACAGATTTCTATCTCTGCAAAAATTTAGTAGAAAATAAAAATTCTTAATTTGAAATTTATTTTTCTTATAGTCATATATCTTTTATATAGGAATTTCTCAACTTTCTCAAGTGTAGGAATTTTTGAAAAAAAAATTGTCCTTTTAATTTTCACGGTCACCTTACGCCAAAATTTTTTATTGCACATTTTTTGGAAAATTTTCCTTTGAAGAATAAGGAGAATAATTTTCCTTTGAAGAATATTCATTCTTCGACTTTCTTTGATAACTACACTCCGAACTTTGCTTTAACTTTAATAATCGTAAAAAATAGGGAAAATTATTAAAGGCTAATTTCAGCATTTCAAGAGAATTGCATGAATTTATGTTGTAAGTTTCGTTATATTGTTAATGTTGTACAACATTAATGTTATATCGTATAGTGAAAACTGTCGCAATGACCTTTATGGGTTGCAGTCTGCACTAGAAATTTGCAAAAGATATTCCAGATTTATTCCAAATACCATATATTCCGTATGGGTCTCAGTATATGGGGCCTCAGCATTCCTATAATATTCATTTTAATAATTCCACACAATTTCCTTTCCTATGCACAATTGCCTTTATAATTAGAATATAAATTATAATTTATAATTAAAATATAAATTATAAATTATAATTAGAATCGTTGCTTGGTTTATTTCAGCTGAATTAGGATAATTGGCCTTTAATAATTTTCTCTCCTATATATGATTAAACTTATAAATAAGAAAATTTTTTTCTATTTCCCTTTAACTTTGTGAAAACATTTTCCATATATATACTGGTATATACATATATATACAAAAAGCTAACAGTGGTTCATGGGCGCCTAAGATCAACAAGCTGCTTGCGGCAAGCTCCCATCCACACTGATTAACATAAGAAAGAAACAACGGTACGAAAGATCCTCATAAAAGAACAATATCACCCAACTACTGACCAATAATCTACTTACATACATGTGGAAAGTCCTGTCAGATATCACAGCCACTCAGCTTCATGACCACATGAGCCGATACATAAGTGCAGTTCAAAAAGACGTTGGGAATAACACCGGAGGCTCCAAACATCAGCTGCTCAAGACTCAAAATCTTTGCAGACAATCTGTGCACAGCTTGAATTGACTATGGAAAAGCCTATGACTCAGTGCCTTACAGAGAGATTGTGAACGTCTGGCTCTATACAAGGTCAACAGAATCCTAAATACATTCATTGAGAATTCAATCGTTTGAAAATCGTTTGAGAAACTATGGTCATGCAGTTTAGGTAAAGTGGAAAACATGAAAAAAAGAAACGATTCAGCCTACCATCGATGAATCTCCTCTTGTATATTGCATTTTTCGAAATCATGTTTGCTCCTATCGCAGAAGATGAATTTTTGCATCTTATTTGTTCTTAATTTTATGAATTTTTCTTGCAAACCGATTTCCTATTGGTTTTCCTTAATTTCGCATTGTTTCCGAAACTATCCAGGTCATTTTCACTCTTTAAATTATATGACAGGTGAAAGGAATTCTAAATTTAAATCTTCTTACGCAAATTTTCAAATTTTTTTTAGAAATTTTTCAAAATTTTTACGAAATGTTTTCGCTGAAATTTGAAAAATAAACCAGATCTATTTTGAATTTTTAAAAAAATATTTTCTAATATATATTTTTTTTTAAAGGTCCTCACCATGGTTAAACTCGCTCCACTGGCTTGTCACATTGAGCAATATGCCAGGGAGTCTCTTGGCGATAGATATACAAATGAGTCGCCAGCATCACCCGTATTTTTGTACAGGTTTACTCCTGCAGGGAATCGAACCTTAGCATCGGTGCTCCCAATCGAGCAACAACCCACTGAGCAATTCTTAAAAAAAAAGCTTAGGGCACTTGGGATTCCCAGACCGTCTCCGATGCTAGTGCTAACCAAGCGCAACGTTGCTTAACTTGACAGATCGGACCTGATGTCTTGTTTTCGACGTGGTATGGCTATAAGCAATTTGTATTTTATTCACAATGAAAGGAACACAATAATAATAGAAAAGTATGATCGTGAAAGAATGTTATTAATATGTAATAAGTTGTTGGTGACCTAGGATTATTTTGTGAAATATATGATTATACAACAAATAGCAATTTATTTTACTTTATAATATGACAATTTTAAAGTGATTTACAAAAAACATTAGTTGGAGAAATCGCGACCACTGTTAAACTATTAAATTTTTGATGTAACAAATTCTTAAATGACCTTTCATAAAATAAAAGTTATGAATAATTTTAAATGATCCAGATTAACCAGGCAGTTTTTTAATGTTGTTTTCGTGAAATAGTCAAAGTTTTATAAATATTTATTTATTTCAAAGGGAATAAATGAGCAGCCCTGCAAGTAACAATAGCCTAAACAACTGTAACGCAATTCGAAATGAATTGAGGAATGTGCTAGAATGTCATGAAAAGTTTTTCAAATTATTGCATTTCTTAAACTATGTTACCTTTTGCTTAGCGAAATTACCTCTATCCGCTTATTCCAACAGTTAATGAAAAAATTGTGGGCCATAATTTCACAGAAGTGAATCACAAGTTTCGAAGATTTCAGTTCTGCGATGGTTTTGATAAGTTTGTTTAGTTTTTTAGTTTTTGTCTTTTTTCTAAATCAGTTCACTTCATTGTGGTTTGATCGATGCAGAGACATCTTAATTATTTACCATGAATGAGAATTTTCAAGCATTATTTTCGAAAAATGAGTTCGTTATACTTTTTATTCATTTGCCTTTCATAAAAAAATTAGCGCCCACATAACAATCTATCATTTGCGCTTAATATCCCTTTCAGTGGATTTAAATGTATTTAAATAGAAAATTTTTTTGTGGAAATTAATAAAACTTTTCTAACAACTTCTGTTTGATGAAAAATTATGTAATTATTTCAATCATTAAATTAATGCGGTAATATAGTATCAGCGCACCAAATGTATCGCAATATCTACGCAATAACCCCAAAAATTATTCTCATCTCCACATCATATCATTTTTGACTGGATTAAACGATGATTTGCATAATTAATTATAAAAATTTTTCTAAAAATTTAAAATATTCTCAGTTTATCATCAGTTAATCTTTAATCAGTTAATCTGCAAATAATTCCTTAATTTGATCTAATTCTTCTACATTATTTATTACATATCATGTTGAATCATAGAATTTTAGTTTTCATCAGCAGATGTCCCACGAAAAGAACAACAATTTCTTAAAATCAACAGCACCTGTGCAACACCTGTCGAAAAGGTTGAAAAATCTGCAGAGGTTGGACGAGTGAGTTGTTTGGTTTGGCTGGCTGCATTCATTACGAAAGCCTTTTGCCAGAAATTCACTTGCAGATAATATAATAGATAGATAGGTCTCACACGAATTCCACTTTCCATGGTAGATTTGATTCCATTGATAGGTAGATAGGTTTCTTTACCTTCGAACGGATTCCACACACCATTCACTCTCGGCGCCCCCAATTGTTTTATAGGAATTAAATCTTGATTTCTTTTCTGTTCTGATCATTTATCACTAATAGGTTAGTTACGGTGGTATGTTCTTTGAGCTCTGTCGTGTAACGTCGCAGTTCGATTCGGTTTTGTTTGCTGCACTGAGCATGATTTACCTTTTTGTACCATAATTGATAATTCAATTGAATTGCTGCTCTACCCATTTAAAAATTTGAAATATGAATAATTAATAGATTATCGAAATTATTCTCATCAATTACAACATTTATAAGTGGAAATTGATATGTGGAAATCAACAAGTAAAGAAATTTTTATGAAATTTATGATTAAAATATTTCCAGAAAGAAGTAAGGCAAGTAAGATTATCGCATGTTCTCGAAAAACCGCAGTTGTACTACGACGAGCAGTTGTAAGTTCTTTGAACGAATTTCAGAACAGTTCTTTTTCAAAAATTCGAAACTCGACATTCATTCTCAAAATGAATGGAAAGGGGTTTGACGAGGTGGTTATGTATTCGTTATCATATAGAGCTGGTTATAGAAGTTTCTTGTAAACATTTGATTGGGAATCAATGTTTTAGGCAATTTAGAAAATCAACTATCTGAATGGGAAATCTGAATTCACGAAGAAATGAACTTTTTAGAAATTAACTGCAAAAAACCGATACAATATGCATTATGTCGAAGGAAAAATAAATTTCCACCCTCGAATTATGATCACTTATTTTCTTTTTTAGGTCAGAATGGGTTTATCCAGTCGATGAAGCATTAGAAAAACAATTGGAGCAAGTCGCATATTTCTGCAAAAGTATTAATCGGTTAGTCACCACTATCTATAAATCTTTCGCCGTGAATCCTAGGAGTGTTAAAGGATTGTAAACTAATGACTGGATTTAAGAATAATTTTCATTTCATTCATAAAGTTTCATACAAGTTTCTTTCTATTAATTTTTTTATAAAAGATATTCGTAAAAATTCTAGGAGCGACCATAATTTTGTAATTTTAGTTGGGGTAATTTGTCTTTAAAAAAATTTCCAGAGGATCATAGTCATATACAAAATGTTAAAAACTAGAGTAACATCATAAGAAAAAAATTCAGAAATGCTAGAAGAGAGATGATCGAGCGAGTTTGATTGTAGGATTAAAAATAGAGGATAAAAATAAGAAAAAATTAGGGTTTGAGTTGTCGCTAGAGAGTTATAGTGAGGGGCTGAAACAATATTGTACGGGAAATGTAGCATGGTTTAAGGCATTATCAGTAAGATGTTACGATAAAGCAGGTTTTGTGGAAGATATGTCATATAGGAGATTTTAAGGGAGTAGATTACGAGAATTTCATAGTTCGCTTCGCCGCTTGCATTCTGCAAGGAGAGATGTAGAAAGTGTGAAAGAAATATAAATGTGTGAATTAGACTGTGTCATATTAGTTGAATACAGCGGTGTTTCACTGAGAGAGAATTAAAAAATGAAAAGGAATTTGAAGAGTGTTTACGACTGCGAACGAGATATGAGAGGGTTTAACGTGTACAGTGAAGGGCATTTAAAGTGAATTTGATCGAGTAAATGGAGTTTAAGAGGCACCAAAGGTAGTAGATTTGGAGTAGAACTGAGCATAAGAGGATTTTGAAGGTGGCAACCTGATTCGAAAAGCGGAAAAAGCGATCGAGCTACCTTTTCCTGGCAGAATTTTGTTATGGGCTATCAAATTATAAAGTCTTTATCCATCTACAGTCTATAGGGTGAGATTCTAGAAGTTTTTCGAAGAAGTTTTTTATGTATTGCAATAAAACTGAATCGATTCGTGTCTTTTCTAGAACCAACACAACCAACTTCATTGCATCATGATGCTTTTTAAACGATAATTTTTCACGACAAAACTAATTTATTTTGTACACAGAATTTCGATAACATTACACTTACAAAAAATAGTATTAAGCTTTGAAATTTTTTTCTTTTTTAAGAGCCCTCACCATTATTGTTTAGACTGGCTGCTCTGGCTTGTCGCCCCAGACAAATATGCTAGGAAATCCTTGACGATAGAAGATAAGTTGCCGGTATCGCCCGTTTCTTTGGATAGCTTATTCCATCCTGGAGTATATCGACACTCCGAATTGAGTAACTACCACTGAGCCATTTCACTCTCTTTTTGTTTTCTTCCTTAGGCGATACTGCCACTCGACGAAGAGTGGTGCATCGGCGGATTGGAACCCAAATTGTTGGCAATTATCATGCCACTGAGCCATCGACGTTTCGAAATTTAAGGCTTCATGAAAGGACATTAGGATATTTTGAGATTTAAGGCCTCAAAAAGTCTAAATCAGTATTATAATAGATAAATAAGATCATAAGTGCTCAGCCTTTATGGTACTGCTATTTCGTTTTAGGAAATATTTACGTTAAAATTCGTACTTCAACGATAACTGTACGTTTCAGTAAAGAAAATAGAAATGCTTATTTATGTTGTTCTTTTTATGAGTTCGAAATTGAATTAAATAATGCAGATGAAAATTAACCACCGAAGGGACAAGGAAACTAATTTTATTTCAGAAAAGATAAGAATCGATTCAGCTTTATTGCATTATGACATTAATGGGAGTTGATTGAAATAGATTTAAATAATAATAAATTCCCTAGTGTATTCAATAAAGTTATCAAAGAAAGCTGTACAAATGCATTTTTTTAACCTGAAGTGAGGGATCTTTTCTTTTATAAGTGGATTTTCATCAGAAATTTAGGAATCGAGCTCTACGAGCACTTCTAACTCAACCTGATGGCTCGTTTATACTTCGAATTTCTGAATCAAAAAATCGATGTTTGGCTCTAAGTGTTCGTGTGCCTTTTAATTTTAATTCGAGTGGAATTTCACATTATTTGATTATACGAAATGAAAGAGGTTTCAAAATTAAGGTTAGAGGTCATGAGTTTTTTTTTACCTCTCATTAAAATTACCAATATTTTTACCAATATTTTTGAAATTATGGTGAAAATCGCTTTCAATTATACTAAATAACTAAGTAAATAGAAATATTTTATATTTTACAAAGCTTATTTTATAAAGCTTCGAGAATTTTTTCGTTAGATTATAGGGCTCAAACAAATCTTTTCCATCAATTCCAATGCTTATCACTCATCATTCTGTTATGCGTGAACAACTGCCATGTCGTTTATTTTTTGTTCAGTGGGATCGTTTATGGGATTATGAAGATAATAATAATTATGATTATCCACCTTGTGAAGACTATGAATGCCGAATGAGAGCAGATTCATAATAATATTATCACCTTATAAATATGTAAATTTGTGTATTCAGATATATACATTTTATGTTTTTTTATATATTTTTTAAGTATTACATTTTAAAAATTTGTATATAATTTTAAAAAATTCTTGAAATACGATTTTCAAGAGTCAGATATTTCTATATTTTTATTAAATTCATCAAAACTATTTTATAATTTAGTAGATTATCGAAAAAAAATACCGTGCCCTTAGTGTTTTAGTGCCCTTTATGAATTTTTGACACAAATCTTAGTTTTGAATTATTTTCATCTATCTACGAAGTTTTCAGTTGATGATATTTTTTGGTTTTATTCCGACAATTTCTCGATTTCCCTTGATTTTTTCTAGAATTCATTCACTACCTGAATTTAAATATAATTTTTTTATTTTTCGCTAATTTTCTAATTCTATACGATTCGGTGGTTTTTCATTTTTTTTTCAAGCCATTTTATGTGATCTTTTATTATCGTCGATTCAATTGTTCAGAAAAATAATTTTTTAAATGTGTACAAACATCTTAATGCAGTGCGAAATTCCTAAAATATTATCAGATTTTTACTACAGCTTGTTCTTCAAAAAAAATTTTTCCATTTATTTTTTTTTGCTCAATTTTGTTTTAACAATGATAAGTGAATGAATGCATTATTACAAAATTCTATGGATGAGAAATCAATAATATTGTGGTTCCATAAAGTTCGAAAAATATTTGAAAAATATTGGCAAAATTGGCCGTTAAATCGTTTTAATAATGAATTATTACATGAACATTTGCGATTCGATAGTTCCACAAAATTGGTCAATTAGTGTATAATTAAAGTAAATAAGGAGTTAGCTTCATTATTTGTGACCTCTTCAATGGCCGCTAAGACAATGAGAAATTTTTGTTTGAAGATCATTTGGTCTTTGAAATATAGACACTTTGGCAATTTGGCAGTTTGTTGAGTTCACTTTACAAGAAAAAAACCTTTGACTTTCAAAGGATGCATAGCAATCACTCCGGCTACCTTGTCTCCAAATAAAAATTGTTAGCGATATTCTATAAATTTTATAATTTTTTCATTTTAGGGTAATTTACCGTTTACTGTTTGGGTTATATTAAAATATTTCAAGTATGATTCGTTTTCTGGTAGGAATGTGCCTGCCAATTAAATGGCTCATCTGTACTTTTATTCTATTCACTTCTATCCCCAAGTAATTTGGTGGCGAAAAAATATCATCCTAATAACCAGTGCAAAAGATCTAACCAAGGTCTAAAGGTCTAAATTGAACTGAAAATTCAGCAAATTTTTCATTTATTGGACGATTTACAGCAGTAAATTGAATAAATCCAAGAATAAAATAAAACTTTTCGTAAGAAAATAATAAATAATAATAAAAAGATAATAAAAAGATAAAAATAAATAATAAAAAGATAATGAATTTAAAAAAATTTTCCATGGTTTCTTTACAGAAGGGAACTTTCGAACCAATAAATTAAAAATAAATAAACTTGATCAAAATTTTCATTGAAGAAGTTTTAAATAGAATTCAAATAAGTATTTGCCGGAATTTTTCAGGATTTTCCTTGGAATCTTTTCAAACTTCAATCAGCCTACTTTATTTAGTATTCATCTAGTATCAAGCTGTCATAATTAACTATGCGTTGCAATTACATTATATATATTTCTTTTGATAGTATTATTTTGTTCTTTTAGAAATTATGGAAAATTAAAAAAATTATTCCAGTAAAAATTCAGGGTTAAAATATTTCGATCAAATCAAATAAGTTTGTAAGCATGTTTTCACAAAGTACAAAGTTATTGCTATATAATTGTAGTTTTTGTTATAACATTTTGCAACTATACTTATGCATGAAGCTTTCCAAAATATTGGGCAATTTAAAGTATTAAGGAGAAATTGCATTTGCCTTCTCCAAAAAATGCTCTGGAACTTTGGGCAACTGTCTTCGAACGATTGCTGGAGCAAGAATTGAACAGGAAATAGTTGGAACTTCTGCGATAGCAGTTATTGTATGATAAGTACTCATACGTTGTAGCCGATTCGTTTGCCTTTTTTTACATATCGAATCATTCATCCTGATTTTTAAATTATTCATTCTTATTAGTTCAACAAAAGCAAAACGACGTCTTATATAATCTTATAAAATTTTATCTTATAAAATTTCTAAATTTCCAGAAGGAAACGAGTTACAGTACTCCTTTTATCCAAAATTATTTTTGGGTCGTTTTAAGCAAAATTAAATTTTACAAGATTAATAATTAAACCATTTATTGACTATTTGGCAAAAAAATGAAACCCTCACAATGTTAATACTATTCGATTCAATTCGAGAATATTTACGCATAAAATCTTTTATAAATGAGCAATTTGAAAATTCTAATAACGAATAAAATTTGAAATTTTAAAATGAAACGATCAATAAATATTAAAAAATGGATGTTAAAAAATTGAATGAAAATAAGAAAAAACAGCAGATCAATCGAGTCGACCTTACTACGTTTTTAAAAGTAATAAGTTATAATAGCAACCAACCATACGAAAGCGATTGGAGCAAATATTGTACTAAGCCTTGATAATATCACTGGTGTCACATTATATGAGATATCCGCAAAATTTCTGTCGAAAGGATTAAGACAAGCGATTGCATAAGGAAGATAAGGTGTAGTTGTCGCTAATAAGCATATCAAACAAGTCTATAAGAACATAATTCTTGATTGGTAGAAAAATTGTACAAAAATTACAAAAATTATTGAAAGCTGGGGTAAGTAGCGCTCAGCATTTTTGATCAGATTTATCTCACTGGCTTTTACTCTACGATAAGAAATTTTTGCCAGTGTCCGAATCTTTAGCGATAGATTTATTCTGCTGGAGGTAATGTATGAATTTTAGCGATAATTCGACCAACATTCGGCCACTCATCTATTTTGTTTCCCCAGTAATAAAATAATTTATTGCATTTGGGAAGTGATTATTAAATATAGTTAGCCGCTTTTTAGAAGATCAATCATGAAACCATGATTATTCTGTTCTTTCTATTCTCGTTGTGTTAGTCAATCTCTCTGTTTTTCATTATTTTATTGTACTGTGCTTCGCTAAACTATAGAAGGAATATATTAATACAAGATAATCTTTTCAAAAATATATTGATCTTATTATTTTATACGGTTCACTTGTAAGATAAGAGGAAATTCCAAATGGCACCGAAAAAAGTAGCAGCTTATGGGGCCGTTTCCAATAATAATGTTAGCTGTTTAAATAAAACTATCGAGGATCTGGGGTCACAACTAGCTTCCATTACTGAGAAATATGAAAAGCAACAAGATTTAATTCTTAACCAGATCTATTGAAATACTTATAAAGGTCAACGAAAAACTTAAGAATGATATCAATAATTGAAAGCCTCGTCTTTGGATGCAACTTTGAGCCTCCAAAAATCTCAACTGAACAATTATTGCAAACTATTGATGAATATTTTGAAAAAAAAGAAAAAGAACCAAGTCTAGTTGGCATAAATAATCCGGATAAGTACTTAAGATTCGACTTGAAGATAAGTGCATGGCTATGTCTATTTTACGTAATAAGAACTTGCGCCCGATTGTTCCCCATGGAAGCTTTTTGAGGAAGGATCTGACGAAAAGAGAACTATTACTAGACAAATAGTTGCGAAAAGAATTTTATATACGAAATCAGAATCTCAATCTGAAGAAGTATGTTGTCAGAAATCTTCAAATAGTGGAACTAAGGCAGCCTCGCCAATGCTTTACAATGGCGAACAATTTTTTGATTCCAGTTTTCTCCCATCAATCCTACTACATCTTAAGACAACTTCCCAAGTAAGGTTAATAAAATGGGAAGTAATTTATCTTTATATATATTTAATACAAGAAGTTTAAAATATAAACTTACAACTCTTAATAATTGATAACCCAAACATTTTTCTGTATCAATATTCTGTATCAATTCTGTATTTTCTGTATCAATGAAAGGTGGTTGGATGACTCTATTGATAATCGCGAACTAAACTTTGACGGCTGTTGTTTAAAAAGTAGCAATAAATTTGAAGAGGACTTTCTAAACTTTTGTACCTATGTTGGTCTAGAGCAA